GCCACCGGCTCCAGCCAGGGGGGCAGGACAAGGGGCCCAGGAGACTGTGCTGCTCACTGGGCCCAGCTCCAGCAGGCACCGGCTCGGAGGCAGGATCTGACAATGCGGCATGTGGCCATTTAGCGGGAGCATCTCTCCAGCATGGGGGAGGCAGGGCACCAGCCCTCATTTGGAAAGGTGCCAAGTGGGCGACACAGGCTGGCATCAAGGCCCATTCTCCATCCGGCACCCTCACAGCCCCCGGGCCTTCCGCCAGCGCTTCACCAGCTCCGCCAGCTTCTCCAGCGCCTCCGGCAGCCCCTGCCCGCTCACCGCACAGCAGCCCTGGGCGTGCCACTCGCGCCCTCGCAGCTTCCTCAAGCCCAGCTCCTCCACCAGCTGGGCACAGGACCGGGCCCCAGGCAGGTCCTGCTTGTTAGCCAGCAGCACCAGCGGCACCCCTGCCAGGTCCTCCGCCTCCAGCAGGGCTTCCAGGGTCCGCGCCGTCCACCACGAACACCAGGCCGTCCGTGTTGCTGTGATAGTGTCGCCACAGGACCCTGATCCGGTCCTGGCCCCCCACGTCCCACAGGGTGAAGGTCACGTTCCTGACGGGCGCCACCGTCTCCACGTTGAAGCCCAGGGTGGGGATGGTGCTGACCGTCTCGTCCAGCTTCAGCCGGTAGGTGATGGTGGTTTTCCGCCGTCCACCACGAACACCAGGCCGTCCGTGTTGCTGTGATAGTGTCGCCACAGGACCCTGATCCGGTCCTGGCCCCCCACGTCCCACAGGGTGAAGGTCACGTTCCTGACGGGCGCCACCGTCTCCACGTTGAAGCCCAGGGTGGGGATGGTGCTGACCGTCTCGTCCAGCTTCAGCCGGTAGGTGATGGTGGTTTTCCCGGCATTGTCCAACCCCAGCAGCAGGATCCGAGCCTGCAGCCCGGAGAAACTGCCCAGCGCCGCCTGCAGCCTGCCCAGGATCAGCCCCATGGTGCGCTCAGCCACTGCCTGCGCTGCCCGGCCACACGGGCACTTATATCCACCGGCCTCGCCTCCCATTGGCTGGCGGCGCCTGCGGGGGCGTGGCCGGGGAAGCCCCTTCTGCCGCGCTGGCTGCAGACCTGCTGGAAGCTTTGGCGAGGCGCGCTCTGACGCGGCGGGTTCGAACGCAGCGCCGCAGCCAATCAGAGCGCGGTCTAGCGGAACGGGGGGCGGGGCGGAATCCGATGGACACGTCACCCGAGTGTTGCTGTCACACTGAGCCCCACGCGCCGCTTCCCCCACAGCTCCTGCAGTGTGTGTGTGTGTGTGTGTGTGTGTGTGTCAACAGCAATGATGGGGTGTCAGCGGTGATGGACTTTTGGGGTGTCAGCAATGGTGTGTGTGCATGTGCGTGCGTGTGTGTGACAACATTGATGGGTGTCAGTGGTGATGGACTAGGGAGGTGTCAGCCCATGACTGGTCCATGCCAGGTAAATATCAGAGGTAACCTCTGTGGCACCAGGGAGCTGTTGCGTGAAGAGACCTTACCCAGGAATAGTGCCCTGTGCTCTGCCCATCCCATGTTAGGGAGGGTGCTGCCACTCTGCACCCTCTGGTGCTGGGGATCAGCAATGGCCGCAGAGGCGAGATGCCAATGCGGGCGCTGCACACCCGTCACCACACAAACTGCCTGTGTCCCATGCCACATTGGCCAGGGGAAATGGGTCTCGATCAGCACTTTTCTTACTTTGCCCATCTGTAAATCTGCTCTGGGCGGAGCTCGTTTCCCCTGGGTTGGGGCGTGTAGGGGACAGCAATGCTTGCTGCTGTTTACCCATAATGTGCTTGCCTTTCCAAACATATCCCGAACCCTAGCGGGGTTTTACCACACTCCGCGGAGTCTGTTCATGCCCCTGGCAGCTTTTGCAGGGGTGTGGGACCCCCAGGGCAGGGCCCTCTCTGCGCTAGTCAAATGTCTGGCCATGGGGCCAAGCGGTGTCAGCACCATGTTTATAACTTGTGGCCTGTCTAGGCCAGTTAGTCTCTTCTCCAACCCAGAATCCCAATCCCAGCTGCGATTCTTTCACCCTGGGTGTGAGTCTCAGCCTCTCAGAGCTGGGGCAGTGCATCAAGGGAAGTTACAGAGGGTGGGTGGGTGGGTGAGGGGAACTGCCCTCTGACAATCAACCCCGTTCAGGGGCCCACCCCAGCCAGGACAGAGCTGGCATAAGGACCCTGTGCTATCTCAGCTTCCATACCCAGAGTAGGGAGCAGATCGGGCTGAGGCAGGGCAGGGCACATTGTGCTCTAGGGCCACCCAGGGTCCCCCAGGAGCAGAGGGTGTTTTGGACTCACAGAGGGCTCTGAGTGTGCCCTCTGACAATCAACCCCGTTCAGGGGCCCACCCCAGCCAGGACAGAGCTGGCATAAGGACCCTGTGCTATCTCAGCTTCCATACCCAGAGTAGGGAGCAGATCGGGCTGAGGCAGGGCAGGGCACATTGTGCTCTAGGGCCACCCAGGGTCCCCCAGGAGCAGAGGGTGTTTTGGACTCACAGAGGGCTCTGAGTGTCCCTTGTCTCTGGAGGCCATAAACACTGTGCCCTAGGTCACCTAGATAGGCCAAAGGGCCATCAGGGTTGAGGTTGCAGATCCTGGCAGAGAGCATGGGGGTGGGAGATATAGTGTTGGGGGTATGTGGCTGGAGAGAACCTCATAGCTCAGCCCCCAAGGGGAGGGGAGAGCAAGCAACGGGAACCAGCCCTGGGAGCAGGGGCGAGAGCTGAGCACACTGAGGGCCGTGGGTCAAACTCACTCCTGGGGAAGGAGTTCCTGTCCGGCCCAAGCCCCAGAGCCACACAGGCCTGATGGGGAAAGGGCTGAGGAACCCAGAGTCTCCCCAGCGCCAGAGCTGTCCTGCTCTGGGCAATGACTGCCCTTCCCCACACCAGGCAGGGGTGGTTTCAGCCAGACCAGTGCTGGCGAGAGGGGCTAGCAGCTCTAGAGACCAAATCCTTCCTGTGTCCTCAAAGCAGGGAGGGGGGCACCCTCTTCCCGTGATCAGAGACCCCTGCCCTGTGGGCAGTTCCAGCCGCTAGGGCCTGTTCTGCCTGCAGGCTCCAGCTAAGACTGCGCCCAGGGGGTGATTAGTGCCAGTCGGGGTGGTGTCATTGGCAAAGTGGACCTGAGACCCAACAAACTCAGTTCACTCAGAGCCCTCCAAAGGGCACCCGCTGTTATCCGGTTGCTCTGCTCTTTGGGATGCAGGGGAGGGGGTGCGGGGGGCACTGCTGCAGGGATCTGGAACAGCCAGAAAAGCTATCTGTGGCATGGCCAGGCATGGACTGTGACATGCTGAGGGGAAGGGGAGATACTCAGATGCCACACGGTGTGAGCCCGTAATGCAGCGGTTCTCAGCCTGAGGTCTGCTGCCCCCAGGCAGGCCTGGGACCTAATCCACAAACTGCAAGCCATCTCTGAGGCATCGGGGCCTGGTGGTGGAAGCAGGTTGGGAGATGTTCTGCAGAGGGCACTGGAGAATGCTGCTCCCAGCTTGTGCTCCTGAGACAGGGAGTTCTTGGTCTCCCGTATATAGCAAAGAGGGGCTGTATGGTGGCTGCCTGGTTGCTCTAGCACTGGGGAAGCCGGTGTTGGCTGTCTGGTTGCTCCCGAGGGGGGTCGCATGGCGGGCGGGTTGCTTTTTGTTCTGGAGCTGGGGCCACCAAGGCTACAATCAGGCAGCATACACTCCAACCCAGACTCCTTCACCTCCACATCCCCAGCCCCTGCCATGATTGACAGAATGCTGCATGAAGCTGGATTTCATCAGTTATGATGTAAACTTTGAAGACGTGTGAAAAGATGCAGCAGCAGACGTCCCATTAAATAACATCTGTGAGTACAATGTTTCATTGATGCATTTATTAATCATTACATCCATTATCAATCGTATTAAGTTGTGTATTTTCAGTCCTGCAAATGGGCATTCGTCTATGGCGCTTTGTTGACAAAAGGTTGCCAACCCCTGGGCTAGCTGGTCACCATACTTGGGGGGCAGGAAGAAATGTTCCCTCTAGTCAGATTGGCAGAGATCTTGGGTGTTTTCAACTAGCTCTGCAGCATGGGGCATAAGTCGCTTGCATGGTTAAACTAGTGTAAATGGTGGGTTTGCTCTGTAACTTGAAGTCTTTAAAGCTTGATTGAAGGACATCAGAGGGGAGGGGTCTGTGACAGGTGTGGGTGCGGGAGGCTCTGTAGCCTGCAATGTGCAGGAGGTCAGACCAGATGACCATGATGGTCCCTTCTGACTTTAGTAAGAGTAGCTGGGTGAGAATCTCCAATTCTGACCCTAATCAGTGTCCCACAAGGGACTTGCCACCAAATGTCAGAATGTGTTAGTCAAAGCCATACTGTCCACAGGATGAATTGGGGCAGCTGCTCCAGGCCCTGAGATTTTGGGGTCCAGGCGGTGACCACCCTGTCCTAGGGACGGGAGGGACCCAGGGGATTACTGTGCCTGGCACAGAGCAGCAGCAGGGGTTGCTTCACTTGCACTCACCACATGAGCAGCAGGAGCTGGAGCAGCCCAGCAGCCTGCTATGCCCTGATGTGTCACCCTCCTGGCCCACTGTGCTCCACTTCTCTGCAGTGATGCAAAGTGGGCTGCAGCGGGCCAGGGGAGGGCAGAGTGGCAGAGAGGAGTAGGCTGTCAGGCTGCTCCAGCTCCTGTGTGAAGGAGCATGGGGGCCGTGGGGGACACGCCTTCTGCCACTGCACCATGCCCACAAGTAATCCCCTGGGCCACATTTCACAGGGGAGAGAGCAAAGAGGTGGAGCAGGGGTGGGGACTGGGAACAGGGTGAAGCAGGGGTTTGTGGTGGGGGCTTTTCCTCTGGCCCTGCACCCCCCTGGGGACAATCCTGGTGTAACTACTAGAGTTTCCAGTTGCCTAAGTAGCTCCTGGAAGCCCAGTTAAAGTTGCAGTCACCCCAAACTCTGAAATGTGCCCCGTAGGGTTAGCACAGAATTTGCTCCCTGCATGAACAGCCCCATTGGCTTCATGCAGCCGGTCTCCCAAATCGTCAAATTCAGCCTGAGGCCCAGTGCTCTGCTTGGCAGATGCTAGGACCCCAGTGTTCAGCGCCCCCCCTCCAGCTGAAGCCTGGATCCTAGTCCCTACCCCAGGCGCGTGGAATGTTATGGGGGGGCGTGGAGAAAAACACGTGGGGAGCCCCTGCCATGAGGGGCCGGACAACAACACAAG